TCTCTTCTTTAATGCGTAAGTAGCAAAGATTCTGCTTAGACAACAAGATTATGTTACATTAACATTCGTAACATGTATGGATTCAGATATTAGCATAAATGGTTTACTTTTTACTTCTATCATCTCTGAAATTATTATCAGGATGAACAATGTAAAGTAAGGATATGTTAAGGAGTTCAAGGCAACATTTGTCAAATAAAAACTGACAACATTCTATTATGCAAACATTCAAAACGATATCTTTTAACGACAAAAAACACAACATTTGGCGGCTGTTGGCGGCTACAAAATCTACAAATGCAACCAGTTCATACCAAACTGGTACAACCGTCTGATCATGGTCTGCACTGTTTGCTATTCATTCAGTACTTATGTACTCATTTGGTTACTTATTTTGACACCCCCCCCCCCCCCCCCCCCCCGCGCAAATGATGACTGGTTTTGTCACGATTGAAAAATGGACAAGTCCATTTGGATATCAAGCGTGATAAGCGTTAAAGAAAACATTCCGACAAAATTTCTTAAACACATTTGAAATTTTTATAGAATAAAATAGATATGGATTCTTTGCTTAAGTGGCGTCAACGCAATCCCATTGAATCTGAGTGGACTGATAGTATCAATACAAGAAAACTAATTCTGTTTTTATCTCATGAATTATCTCCCTTTTCAGATTTGCTGATCATTACAACGGAAACAGGCACCATTTTTGATGATTGTGAACCCAGCCTGGGCTGCTAACCAGGACAAGAGGGACGGAACTACTGAATTACTTCAATACATCAGGGCTGCTTTTGGGGTAATAATGCATTCATAGAAAATCATATTTGATTATTGTTTTTATAAGTCGGCCCGCTTACCACAATGGATAGTGTATCAGATTGGAGTAAAGCAAGCATTCTCCTTGAAAAATTTTCTTATGGTCATTTGTGTCTCTCACCGTTAATGAAAAAAGTAGTTGGTCAAATGCGGAAAAAATGGTAATTAATTATTAGTTATTCAGAAGAGCCGGTTGAATGGGAATGAGAAATGTGTTTAAATTAGCACAAAATCAGAAAACCAGCAAACAAATACATGTATATATCAAATATGTATCCATCACTGGATACCCTTTTTAGGAAATCTTCCGCCTAGACGTTATTTAGATTGAAATAATGCGTAGCGGCATTTGAATTTAAAAAGGCAAATGACAAATCGTTTAAAAATAGTGAAACAAGAATATTTAAGTGTCATCAAAATTTTGCTGGCGTTGCTTCTATGCCCCCCTCCCCAGCACCGGCTAGTGTGAACCGTAATAGTTCAAATAACTATATTTATTAATATAATGAATACCACTATTCCTATGTATTGTTCTTCCTATGCTCTATTAAAAATATTATGTTTAATGTACATGATATATAACAAGCCGAGTTATACCCATCTTGCATTTTTGAATATTATATAAATTTATTTTCTGTCTTGCAGAATGAAGTATGGGTTTTACCTCTCGCGAAAGCTCTCAGATGGGTTCAAACACCTGTTCCAGTAGCCAACTTGACGGACTTTGCTCCATGGCAATGCAACTAAAACACTCGTAGAATAAATAGATTATCACCATATGTTGAACACTTCATTGGAAATTGATGATTTCATATAACACACATGTACATGTATATACGAGTAAAAGTCAAGATGATCTTGATTTTATTGCCTAGTTATCAAAAACGTTATAAGACGACAAGGTTTTCTTGGTTGTGGATAGTTTTTTACATTCGTCTATGTTGCTGGCATTATGCTTTATTTTGTTGAATATGAATCTTTATATATTTGTTAAAATGGCATGTCATGAATAAAAAGTGTTTGATTTTATTGAAACAGTTTTATTATGTATCCAAAAGTTTTTTTCTTTTTTTCATTTTGGTGTTTTATAAAATTTAAGTGTTTTCTAAAAAATTTTATGAAAAACGGGTTTTGAAACCTTTGTTTTCCTTCCCGAGAAGAAAGCTTTTAATGGGGGGTGGTAACCCCAAACTACTTGCCCCCCCGGGAATTCGAAGGGGGAGCCGTTTTGGGGGATTTTTTTGTGGGGTTTCCGGGGTTGGGCCCGTTTTGAGCCTAAAATAAGGGAAAGTTAGGGGCCTGTTTGGGTTTTTTCTCCCCCAGTAAAACCGGAAAGTCAAAAATTTGATCTTATTGTTTTTGGGTTTCCAATTTTAAACCCCAAACCCAAAAAAAAACAGTTTGAAATTTCCCATTTTTTCCCTTTGGGACAAAAACAAAAAATTTTCACGCCGCAATTAAACCCTTTATTTTTTTTTAAAAAACATGCGTTTTATTATGTTATCAAAAACCAATCGTTAATTTGTTTGGATAAATTTTTAAAAAAACAATGGGTTTTTTAATTGTGGTTGAATTTAAGTTCAAAAAATACAAACCCCTTAAAGTTTTTAAATTTTAAAAACAACTTAAATAAAGCATCTCAAAAAATCAAAAAATCCTAAATACTTTTAAAAGAATGTCCCAAAAGGTAATTTTTTTTCAAATTTTTAAAAATTTTAACGAAAAAATTTAAGAAAATTTGGGCACATGCAAGGGAAAGAATCCTAATTTCCCAAAAATCCCTTCCCAAACCTTTTTTTATTTTTTTTTTTTTTTTTTTTTTTTTTGGTAAACTTCATCGGTTTTTTTTTTTCAAAAAAAGGGGTTAAAAAAAAATTAAATGTTTCCCATTTTTTTTTTTTTTCCTTTAAAAGGGAAAAAAGGGAAATTTCGTTTTTTAAGGGGAAACATTAAAAAAAAAATTAATTTTGGTTTGGAAAACACCAAAAAGTTTGGGGGTTCCCCCAAAGGCCCCTTAAAAAATTAAAATTAATTGGTAAAAAAACGACTTTTCAAGTTTTCTGCCAAAGTTTACCCCCTGAAAACGGGCCCAAAAACCAAAAAAATTGGGTTTTTGTGGGGTAAAACTTTTAAAATTTGTTTTTTTAAATTTTTTTTTCAAAATTTATTTAAAAATAACCAAATTTCTTAAAATTGTTGCTACCCATTTTTTTTTCCCTTGAATTTCTAAACTTTCCCTTTGGGGGGAAAAAAAAATTTTTTTTTCCAAAAAACCTTTTTCGGAAAAAAAAACAAAAATCCCCAAGGTTTCCCAAAAATTGCAAAGAAAATTTGGGGGGAAAAAGGTGCCCCGGTTTTAATTTTTTTTTAATAATTCCAAAAACATTAAATTTTTTTTTGGGAAAAGGGGAAATTTTAGGGGTTTTTGGGAATCCAAAATTTAACCCGAAAACCAAAATTTGGGCCCCAAGGGGTTTAAAAAACCACCCGCCCCCAAATTCTTGGGGGAACCGGGCGAAAAAAATTTTTTGTGAAAAATTTTAAATTAATTTCCCCCAAATAAAAAAAACCTTTTAATTTCCAAAAAAAACCAAAAATTTTTATGTTTTTTTTATTTTTTTTTTTCAAAAAAAACCAATTGGGGAAAATTTTCCAAAAACCTTAAAATTAACATAAATTTTTAAGCCCTAAAAAAACAGGCCCCCCCTTAAAAATTTAAAAAGTTTTTTCAAACCCCAAAAATTAAAATTAAAAAAAAAATTTAAATTTTTGGTTTTTTAAAAAAGGAAAAACCCAATCAATTTTCAAAAAAAAAACAAAAAATAAAAATAACCAAAAAAAAAGGGTTAAAAAAAAAAGTTTTTTTCTAAATGGCAAATTTGAAATTATTATATAAAAAGAAAAAAAATATCGATAGTGTAGGGGGGCCCTATTGTAATTTTAACTAAGGGGATTTATTTATAAAATAGAAGAAAATAAAAATTGGGGCCCATCTATAAATTTTGTTTTATTTTTAAAACCCAACTTCTTTTAAAAACAAAAAATTTAAAACGTTAGGTAGCCCTTTTTAATATTACAACCCGAAAATTTTTTTGGGTAATTTTTTTTAAAAAATTTTTGCACGCAAAACCTTATAAATTTCCCACTTAAAAATTTCGCATATATTGCCCATACAATTTTTATTTTTAACAAAAAATAAATCAGGGAAAGTTATAGTTTACAAAATTTATTTTTTGTCAAAACAAAAAGAAAAATTTAAAAAATTTTTGGGCTTTTTTTCTTTAAACCCTTTTCAAAAATTATTCCGGGGTTAAGCTTTTTTAAATTTGAAAGTAATATAATGTAAAATTCCCAAAATTTTGGGGGTTTTTGGGAAATATTTTTTTAAACCACAAATTTAATTTAAAAATTTTTCGTAAACCAAATTTTCCTTTATTTTTTCTTTTTCCCCTTGGGACAAGAAAACTTTTAAAAACCCCTGCAGGGAAGAGCCGGGAAACCCGGGAAACGAATTAGAGGGAAACCCCCCGGCATTAAAGTTTTCAATTTTTTGCCAAGGCGGCCCCCAGCCTTTAGTTTCATTTTTTTGGGGAAAACCCCAAAAAGTTTTCCCGATGATAAAAATTAAAAAACCCTAAAAAAAAAAAAAAAAAGGGTTTTTTGAAAAATTTTTTTTGAGAAAAAAACGGCACCCATTTTTTCCAGTTTTTACTTTGTTTTAAAAAGCAAAAAAAAAAATAACTTGTTTTATCTTTAACTATATCTTTTGGGGGCTTGTTTTGCAAAAGACCCATTTGTCTGTAAGAATCAATATATCTTGTTGCTCAAAATGAATATGTCATGTTGTATAAGTTAACATACATAATATCATGTTATTAGTGATGATTAACATACATGTATAACGAAATGAAAGTATCATGTTGCTTTACATGTTGTTTTCCAACCTAAATATTACAAGCGGTTTGACAAACCTAATATCAACTGTTGCTTGTCAACATAAAAAAGTTTTTTTTCTTCCTTTACTATCTTTACAAACTTGTAAAGTTGAGCATACAATGAACCTACCTCCAAATTGAGCATACAATGAACCTACCTCATAATTGAGCATACAATGACCTCCTCCTATTGAACCTTCCTCCTAATTGGACAAACAATGAACCTACCTCCTAATTGAGCATACAATGAACCTACCTCCTAATTGAGCATACAATGAACCTACCTCCTAATTGGGCATACAATGAACCTACCTCCTAATTGGACATACAATGAACCTACCTCCTAATTGGGCATACAATGAACCTACCTCCTAATTGGGCATACAATGAACCTACCTCCTAATTGAGCATACAATGAACCTACCTACTAATTGAGCATACAATGAACCATAACTCCTAATATTGCACAGGCTGCTCCGATTTTGGTTAAAAATAATTTATCTTTCATCACGAATTGCTTTAACACAGCTGATACAAAGGTTGCCATAAGTAACAGCATGCCCAAAATCTCAAGCGCACGTGTAGCACTGATAGCTGTTGGCACTAAAATTGAAAAACATAATATTTTGGAATTTGAAAAAAATAGTACAAAAATATTATCTATTTTTTTCTGTCTGTAAACACTTTTGTACGTTTTAGAATATAGACAATAAAAGCGTATCTAACAGCACCCTTGCCAACTTTCCCGCATCAATTTTAATTTACTTAAAGAGTATAAAGCAATATATTATGAAATATTTTATCAAATTTATCAACAGTAAAATTATATTGTTTCCATGATCTTATTGTCGATTCTTGAAAAGGTTATAATATAAAATGTCTATCACACATGGATATTATACGTAAAAAGAATGATATCGTGTGACGGATGTTTCATGTTACCGAATACCATCTGAAGAAATAATTTATTTAATTGTATTTCTTTCGAAAGAGTTAATATGTATATATTTGATAAACAATTGGTTAAAATGTACAGCAGTACTTTTTTCATGCAACCTTTTTTTTCAGTTTGTTAATACACACGATGCAAGGAATTAATCATCTTATAGTCTGGTTATTCCAATTTTTACATTTGTTTCAAAGATATCTTGATTTAATAGGCAAATCGCTTCTTATCTTATGCGTGTTTTCATGAAATGAAATTACCTTCTGCATAGCTGGCACACATTCCCGCCCCGCAGGTGTCCAAAGTCCAAAATATACGCTTACTCCATTGACATTTCCATGATACCAGTAAGGTATTGCTAGGCCAACAATGTCCAATAGCGTAGAAATACCGCTTAAAATGAGTGCTATTATGCAGTACATATTTAGAATTTCGAATTAACTCTTCACAAAACTGCACAGTCAATATTTCAAAAGCTAAATGACGTATGTCGCCAAAAAAACACCATTTTTATAGTATTACATATACTGCACATGATTAAATACGTGTCATTTAATTTGTGTTGTTTCTTTTTCTGACAAGAAAGTTAAAACAAAACTTTGGCAGACTTATTGCAACGTTTCAATGTTGTTGTTTCTGTTGTTTCTACTGTTGTTTATGTTGTTGATGTTGTTGTTGATGATGATGTTAATACTAATGATGGTGATGATGATAATGATTTTGTTGATGATATTGATGATTATGTTGATAATAATGATGATGATGATGATGATGATAATAATGATGATGATGATGATGATGATGATGATGATGAAGATCAATATATTAAATGGAAGCCAATCGATGAGTGTTCCAATTTTGTACTTCTTTTACAATAATACCTAACAATGCTAAATATCTTAGATGGACTTGCCCATTTTCATTTTTGGCAAAACCAGTCATCATTTTTAGGAAAATGTTCACTCTGAATAGCAAATATTGCAGCCTGTGATCCGAACACGGACGTGCCGGCAGATCTTTGGCATCATTTGCCGCGCGGGTAGGTTATGATGCACATACCCCCCCCCCCCCCCCCGCATATTTCACCAACTGATGTTGCTTTTGTCGCTCTTGTAAGTTCTTTAGAGAAAATCTGATTTGTGTAGCTGGTTCAATTGTAAATCACACTCAAATTTCAGCATAGCAGTTTACGTTTTGGCTATGGACACTGTGAAAGTAAATGGATTCATTCATAACTTTATTTTGAATTGCCGAGTAAGTGTGTAAGACTTTGAAAATACATTGCATTTTTTGCCCTGAGAGAAAAAAACAGATTTTTTTATAGATTTCCATTTTTGAGCGTGGTTGTGCGTTCATGCCTGCGCGTACGTGCCGTCGTGCGCATTTAAACGATTAAAGCTTCTTTTGTCCCGCAGTATACACATAGTGGACAGTCCGCCTCCTGACGTGTCGTAATCTGCAGCTCACTACTTGACTCAGTATCGTACAAGGCACTGTCATCTTTTATCAGGAAATCAGTGGGTGTGCTGCGGTTTCAGGTCCGGATTGGGCTTGTTCATGAACGTGATCTGTGTTTCAGCTATCTGGGGTTGCAGTTTTACAAAAAAAAATTTCTCTAATTATTTCCTTTTATTTTGAGAATTATTGTCATCAAAGTGACTGTACATGCCTTTAAAAATAATTTATTAATTAGTTAAGGTTTGTTCAAACTAGTTTGAGTGCAACGTAGTAGAACGTTTGTCTTAGGACTCTCCGACTCTCAACTTCTTTTATAGACTTTCAATAGCGCTTTAGTCTTTGTATAACTTATATCATTCTTTAAATGGCCAGTCGAAATACGTCGAAAATGCAAAAATACAACTTAGTCGCTATATTCGTGCTTTGTTTCGTGTGTATTTGACTATTCGCACAGAAAATGCACAAAAGATCCGTAACAGACCGAAGGCAAAAGCGACGACACCTAAAAAATGTTTATTTTATTGTAAATCTGTCTCTGCTTTTTGTTGAAAATAGAAATAAAGGAAACGAAAACAAACAGGAGACTGTCATAACAAGTCGTATCTCAGCGTTTTCAACATAATCTCGTTATCGTCATTTCTAATAACTGCTATCATCAATTCTGTACGAAAGACCTGTGGGGGCATTTCAACTTTATGGATGACCTATTTCATCCTCGTGAATTCACAATTTTACCTTCGTGAATTTAGGTTTTCAACATACGGAATTCAAAATTTCCACTCCATGAATTTACGATTTCAACTTCAGGAATTTACGATTTCAACTTCATGAATTCACGATTTCAACTTCATGAATTCACCATTTCCACTTCACGGAATTCCCGTTCTGAACTTCACGATTTCAACTTCACGAATCCAAAATTCCCGATTTCAATTTCACGAATTCCCAATTTCCAAATTTTAACTTCACGAATTCACGAATTTCCGATTTTAACTTCACGAAATCACGATTTTAACTTCATCAATTCAATATTTTGAGCTTCTCTATTTCAATTTCGCTGAATTCAAGATTTCATTATCACGAACTTGAAATCATGAAAACGTGAATTCTGTATGTTAGAATCGTGAATTCATGAAGTTAAAATTGTGAATTCGTGAAGATGAACTCGAGGGTTCGAAAAGTTGAAATGTCACCAACGGTCTTTCGTATTACTTGAGTGTTTTACGTGTTCGTGCGAGTTTGCCATTTTTGGAAAAAAGTTAACTTTACAATCTTATCGTGTCAATTTAGTGATAGTGGACCTCTTCATTTTATCAAAACCACAAAGTGTAAGGACATAATTTTGAGAATAAACCACTCCAGTTTATTCATTGTAAATGTCCTTAATTGATAAATCGGTCAACAATATAGTTTTCATTAGCTTAATACATTAATCATGATTCAATATACCTTCTTACACAAATAACATTTCAAAACACATATTTTTACTAGAAAACATAATGTTTTCTTTCAGGGTTCTGTATATTATACAATTATTGACTAGTGTGCCATTGAATATGATGTTATATTCACCGGCAGATGACATATTAACCGAGGCGATAGCCTCGGTCAATATGACTTTCTGCTGGTGAATATTGCGCTGTAACTTTTAACTATAATAGTAAAGCAAAGATATTTAAATCGAGAAATATACCATTAAGAACAAAATGCAACCATTATTTTTTTAAAACTCACGCGTAATTAACAGTCTACGATAAACGAGTCTCAATCTATTTTTAGACTGGGAAAATCCAATATAGCAAGTGAATATGATACTACACCCATTGAATATGAGTTATGTTGACTACTGTTTGGACCAATGAGATTGCAGCTATATTTAGATTATTCCCTGCGGTCTGGAGACCGCAGGGTATTGGTACGCGTTTAACTTTTGAGGCATGGAGGAGCACGTGACCTGTTTTCGGTACATGGAGGAGCATGTGATCTATAAACCGTACATGATTGGTTAATTGACCTTTTCGAAAACCTGGCTAAATACCGTTTGCCGGTACGTTACGGATAATCCTCTAGAGAATAAGTCAGAATTACACCTAATTAAGAACAAAAAACTATTACGTGATATTTTTAATTTTCTATAATTATAATACCGTTAAAGGTGGAAAAACTTGAATGATGTGTTTGAAAATTATCAATGTTTCTTTAATATGTATCTCAAAATTTTACAAACAATAAATTGTTTATACTGAAAATCTACAAAATTAAAATATTCGTAGTGGCATCTGCCATAATAATTAGAGATGTTTTCTGCGAAAACTTGTGTGTTTGCTTTTTTTTTGCTCGGAATTATTCATAAAATTGTAGGCCTATTTAATCATTTTCTTAAAAAGAAATAATTGTTTTATGTTCGACCTTCTCCAGTCATTAACGGTCACCAGTTTCCAAAGACCTTCTTCTATATTGATCGATTATTGTCAACTATATTCCTGATACAAACGTTTATTTATCCACCCACCCAAACAATGTTGAAGATAGTTAAATGAAATATCTTTATATCATCAAAAAAGGTTCTCCGCAGGAAACCATTTTACTTGTATAATAACTTGTGTTATGTTTCGCATGAAGATCTGAGCGTCATCATCTCTGTTCATCCGGTAGAGCTTTTTTTAGCCAGCCAATCAAACCGTCCTTCGAAGAAAGCAATACTTCTTTTTCGGGCGGACTTTCTGCGGCATATTAGATTCACCATTTTTGGTATATATTAACCTGTATAACATGGCTGTGTTCAATGTTGTACTTCCATACTATCTTGAAATCGTGAAAATCACGTATGAAATTTGGTTTCATAACAGTAGGAAATATTCACTTTCGAGAATATGAAAGCTGTGCGCTGATTAGACTACACTGGCTTGCATTTCATTCGCCTCTTTGATTGGCTCAGAAAGTTGTTCCAACTGAGAAAGTTTTAATCACATGATCGTAGCATACACTTACACCCGTTCAAGTTCCGTAAATTAATTAATTGCATACCAAAACAGGAATGTTTCTGTAACAAATTAGAATTTTTTTAAAAATGTATTAAAAAGTTTTATTTTTTCAAGTGAGCAAGGAAAGTAGTTGACATAATGCAAATGGTAGGTTCAGTCTATGTAAATAACCAAATAAATGTCAAAATATGCACACACACAAAAAAACTCAGTGCGTCAGTCACGCAGTAAAAACATGGTGATAAATACTGAATACTAATTTGTTGAACTCATCTGGAGGCATGCAGCTTTAAATCAATATAATGCGTTAGAGAGAATTGTTCCGTTTTGACACAAACACTCACGATCTCAGCATTAGAAGAGAAAAACGATTGATTGATTGATTGATTGATTGATTGATTGATTGATTGATTGATTGATTGATTGATCGATCGATCGATCGATTGATTGATCGATCGATCGATCGATCGATCGGTTGAGGCTGCAAAGATATGTGCTTTGAAGGTTGATTATGAAACCAATTTTATTCTAGTAGTCTGACAAATAAATCACTACATTAAAGTTATGATAAGTTATTTCTGTTTTACAATGTTGTTATATAATAACATCAGGCTTATTGTCCAACTCAATGTTCAATCTTCAGCAGACATTGATAAGGCAAAGTATTGCATTTATTAGTAAGAATAAGTAAAATGTTCAAACATGAAAACATTAGCAAAATACAACAATATTTTAAAGTTTTTCCTGCTTTGTATTAATTTCTTTCTCCGAAACATGAAAAGTATTATTTTAGAAATGAATTTTTACTTTAAATAATGGTTGATATTATAAGGATCTTACACCGGCTACCAGTACAGATCGGAATATTTAGCTCGAGGAAAACTGCTTACGGCTGAAACCTCGGCCCGAGTCTCTGCCGAGATTCCGCTAAACAGTTGCCCGAGAGCTAGATATTCCGGTCTGTAACGACAGCCGGTATAAGATTCATTTTCTTCCATTTTGAATAGTATCCATATTTCAGAAAGAAATATGGAAACTAATATTTTCATTTTTGC